TTCCTCTTCTTCTTACTATTGCTATAATGCTATCAATACTTTTTGGCTACATTATGTAATAAATTATTACGTCTACCATAGTTTTTAGATCTAGATCAAGCAAACTTACAGCCTAGGAAAACTTACTTACACAGTGAGTTAGTGACTTTATTTTCTTTTTAACACAAAACTTCCTCCCCAGTTGTATCTGTTGAACACGGAGTATGACATAGTTACTACCTAGTCCCTACTTCCCACGTTCAATTCTAAGGCAAGTTCAATTTCATGAGAAATAAATAATATAGAAACTAGTTCACTTTCATGACAAAACTAAACAAAGAAATCAACACCAAAACAATTAAGCTTGCTTTTAGTAACAAAAATATGTTAAAAAGAAATTTGGAAGATATGAATACAATGGCACCTGCATATTTATGTGTGTAGCATTATAAGATTATGAGAATAAGAAATCTAAATGAGAATATGAATGTACAAGCATATGCATATAATTATACATATGTGTGTGTGTGTGTATAGAGAGAGAGAGTACTGCTACAAATCACTGAAGTTCAATTAAAGCTTAAATTTTGTAGTCCTAGCAGTAGCAAAATGAAGTCGACAATTCGCTTCTATTAGTAGTGCACTAGTGACGTGACATTTTTTTAACCCCAACTAGTCTACTTTTGACTGTTTGAAAAACAGCCTATTTGATGTTAGAAAAAATAAAAGGTACTCCTTCGAAGATCGACCACGCCATCCAATAGGCATTATTAGAGAAAAAACTTCATCATTCTTAATTTCTGTTTCTGTACAGATTCTGTTGAAAACGGAATCTCTGATTTCTTATTTACAACTCTGTAATTTGTTTGGGTAGTTGATATTAAACATTTGCACCAATTTGCGGTTGGGGACATGTGAATAGGTAGATCAAGAAACCCTTGCTCTTCATTTCTTCAGCACGAAGTAATGGAGACTATTTGATCTTTCCATTCCCGTGGCTGGAGGGAAGGGAGAGTAGTCTGTGGCTAGCTTACTTAACTGTTCACTTCAACCATACTTTTATTAATAAAAGTGTTGAATTTAAAAAAATTACAAAAGGGTCTATAAAAGTTTTGGCAAAAGTGCAAAACTTTAAGAAAGACCAACCATAATCATTACAAAAAACAAGTAAAAGAATCTCTTTGAAATATTAACTACAACAGAATAAGACTTAATATGAAATTATGACTAGTCCCTAATAGTTATAATATGAAACTAAAACTTATGCGACTGCCGCCACACAAGCAATAATGAAAAGAACAGCAACAACAACAACAACAACAA